CAGCCTGATAAGACCACTGCCTTAAGTCTCACAAGCTAACATGTAAATTCTCCTTACTGAAAAATGTGTTTGAATATCAACTCAAGACACTTTCCATAAATTTTGGCAATCTATTCCTCTTTTCTCACAACTTTTCCTTTATATAGTTAGGAGAAACTTACTGTAGATCATCCTTGGGTACTGACCTCTTTCTTTGAATCTTTTGATTCTGAACCCTTCCTTTCTCTTTCCTTTTTCTTCTCGCTGACATGCATAGCAGCTGTTTTCTCAGCTGCTTCTTTTAACTGGTCTTCAAGGCTGGCATCACTTTCCTTACGGAATGCCTGAAAGATGTAAAACAAGAAGTTGATTATTACTAGTTATTTATTACTAACTGGTAAGCTATGTCCTGTGTTCTTGGGAGAAGACACTCTTCTCTCACAGTGCCTCTCTCTAGCCAGGTGAATAAATGGGTGCTGGTGAATATAATTATTTTCAAGGTATTAATAAAAGGTGCTAGAAGGTAACATTGAATATAGAGCCCCTTGAAAGGAAACAAGAAATTAAACCAACTGGGACAAAAAATATATGACCTCAGATGGGATTTGAACCTGGAGCAGTCACTGTCGCCTTATCACTTGTGTCACTGGTGAATTTAATGCTGGACCTAACCTCTTAATGGACTAATGTTAGTAGCATTGGTATACATTGAGCACATAATCTCACCTTTGTTTCAAACAGTTGTCTATAACTCACAATAAGATGATCCTTTTTGCTGGTCTTGGCAATGTTGTTAAGTTTCCCATTCAGCTTGTGCTCTTTGAGAAACTACCGACAGAAAGATAATTTCCATGTTTAAATTGAGTCACTGACCACCCATGTCCCAAATCTGGTATATTTTAGATCTCTATAAGCACCAAGCAACGTAACATGAGAATAGTCCCTCAAATTGAATGACTTCCATTTACTTGCCCAGGTGATTTTTCAATCAACAATATACAAAAATATTAATAGCGGAGCTCCGGCAGCCCAAAGGCACCATACTCATATATGAAAGAATTTAAGGAAACCCATGAATTGTTTTTCTCATGGTTATCATGGCTAGCAGTATTGCTTGTTGGCGCATATGCGTGACAACGACAATGGTGGCAGTGGAGTCGCGCAGGATGGCAGTCATACTCCAGCTAATAGGCTAACGGAGACATGCACCCTTGGTTTATAGCATACTTCTTTGATATTGGATGTCCATGTTATAATCAATTGACACCTGTCAAAACAAGGTGTCTGCTGGCCAATATCATGTGACCATATAACTGGGCTCAAGTTTAAAACTCATTGAGGTCACATTTTTTTAAGTTGACCACTGACCAAGTGCTGGTTTTTTGATTGTATCGTGGGCTCATGTCAGATTAACTTGTTTTATTATATGGCTGTGTCTCTTAAAGACTGGGAACTACTGAATTCACCAATTTGATTGGCTGAAATTGATATTGACCGCGGTTTAGATTTTCCCATCTAGACAGGCATCTAGACCACTTTTTCCGGGGAAAAAGTTGCAAACTAAAATGCAAAAATATGAACTATTTTCTTCTAGTTAGTTCAAGAAAATATTCTTATTATAGAGGTGCCAAAAAGCTTGATGAGAGAAAAAGTAGAAGTGACGAGCAGATTTAAGCTCAGCTTATCCCCATTCACAAGCAAAATGTCAACTAGTACAAACCAGTTGCATTAAACAAATTTAATTTTTCTTGTTTACCATATAACAACCATCTTATTAACCGAGCTTAGTTGGTCTATATGGGAGAATTTGACCGCAGTCGTGAGTGAGTACAGACCTCACTGCATTTGGTCTGTACTCATGACCTTAGTCAAGATTCTCCCATATAGACCTCCTGCTCAATTAATAAGAGCTAAGTAACAGGGGCCAGGCTGTTAACAGAGGTATAAATTTTTCTTGTATATTACATAATACTGTTTTTCACTGCTTTTGTTTTGTGTAGTAAGAGATAATTTAAACTCAAAACAGAAGGCCAAACAATATAAACAGAAAATCTAACCGCAGTGTTACAAAACTCAAATCAAACCTCTCACTTATCCTGGGTAAGCTTAATCGGGCTTTGATCAACCTGGCCAAGGAGCTCTGCTTTTAGGCTTGGCTAAATCTATGTATTATATATTTTCTCTATTCAGTCTTGCAACCACATTGTTTACATACTAAAACCTCTTAAAAAGTACTGTAAGTACTTCTGTATTTCCTCTAACTTCAGGCTGTTACATTATTCGCTGAAAAAAGCTCTTTTTTTTTTTTTGTATATTCTTGGCTGGCCATCTAAAACCAATACTCAAGATTACAGATTTCCTTAAAAAAATTCCAGGGTTTAAAGTGGTGGATGTACTGAATTAAGGAGGAGGGTGAATAGGTTTTCGGATCAACAGTTTTGGCCTTAAAAAGCGCATGTGGATTTTTGCGGTAAATCTTGCAGATTCGTGGATTTTGAAAACACAGTGGATCGTGGATCAGCTGTGAATTTTGGCGCGGATTCTGGATTGTGCCTGTCTTGATGTTCAGAATATGATCATGAGTTCATCCAAATTATTTCTTTTTTTGAAGGAAGCTTATTTAAACTCAGGTGTGAGACTGTTATTGGAATTGTACTGTGTTCCAGTCATCGTCATCAAGCATGTTGCCTTCTTTACTATTTGTGCTAAAATAACAATGGCATTCACATTTACCAGTTTACCTTTGAACTTTTACACTTCTGTTTCCAGATGCGGTTTTGGTGTCGGATTTGAACAAAATATATTGGCAGATCAACAGATTTGGTGAAAAAAAGGCATGGCTGGGCAGATTTGGTGGAAAAAAGGCACCGATCAACGGATTTGGTGAAAAAATGGCATGCATCAGCAGATTTGCATACCCCCGTTTACCCCCCCCCCATTAAGTAAAAGTCAATGCAAAAATAAAGCAACAGAAAGAAACCAGCTAGCACCAGTACTCTGCCTAATTGACATCCACATCAGTGTTTGTTCCAAGCTGGGAGGGGGTGGCTATTGAAGGAGAGAGGGGTAACTAGATATCAAGTGAAACAAACAAAAAAAATACTCCAGGGACATTTCCCTCTCCAAGCAATATTTTCTATTGTCAGTGCTTGCCAAATCTTCAATTTTCGTAGTTGTGCGTAGTGCACTACTTCCATGGTGTTTGACATAACACAAAAAGGAGTGTCAACAACTCTTTCGTACAGGGGTGTGGTAGGGGGCGTGAAAAATCGCGCCATCTTTAGCACGCGACAAAATGAGCGTTAATATTCAAGTAACACTGAACTAAATGTGTCAATATGTTATACGCATTATCAAGAAGAAACAAACGGCAATCGAAACGGGGACGAAGTCTTCAAAATGGCCAGAAAAGGTCTTTGTTCGAAGCACTAAATTGCCCATTGTTTGTGGAAAGAAAACATTGCCACGTTGTAGAAATTTGGTCAAAGCTGCCTAAAATGCACCCCATAAATCCCAGGAATTGGGTCTTTCATACCTCAAATGAAGCGTTTTCGTGCAAAAACTTGATAATATCCTTCTTGGATACATCTTCGCTCTGCAGTTGCTCGTCGCTCCAACTCTTCTCCACTTCCGCCATCTTGTTTAGCTTCAAAGCGAGGGTGCATGTGGAAGTCTGGGTTCGATTTCATTGAAATTCTCCCAGTTGTGTTTTGGTTGTAACATTTTCTGAAAATTATAGGCCTTAAATTCTTCTAAATGCAATCTGCAGCGAGTCCCGAATGTATTCCCACGCTAGAGTTCCCAGAAATACCAAACAAAGACGAACTCGTGGTAAGTAAGCTTCGAGTAATTTGTAAACTTGACCTGGTTTTCTTTGATGTTCCTTTCAAAACTGTCAGATACATGTAGCACCGGATTATGTGAAACCAATTGTTTGTCAGTCGATATAAACAATCGATTGTTATTGGTTGTGGGTAGTTTATTGATTGATGTCGATTCTTGATTGATGAAACAGGGAAGTCTTCACTTCACTGATTGTTGGCATTGTTGTTGTTAATGAATGGCTATGCCAATTCTAAGCCCCTCCATCTCCCCCCCCCCTCCGGGGGGAGGGGGGCCATTTGTAGGGCGTTTGTCATAAGGACGGGCCTTGGAACTGACGGAGTTATAATCCATTTTCATCAATTGATAGATCATTGTCAAACAGTCATCCGACCAATCAACATTAAAGCATGCCAGCATCTTTTTTTGTACCCTATAAAAAGTTATTTTGTCTTTGTCTGCACTCCCCCTCTTCCACATTCATCGACTGTCATCTCCCCTTCATCGCTCACTAACTCTTTAACTTTTAATTTTAAGACAATTATTAACATTAACCCCATTGTCTAGGTCTGTATTGTTAGATAGGGAGCCTTGCTTTTTCTTATGCCTGTCCCTGTCTTTCCCTTACAGGATTTGTCTTTATTAATCCAGCAGTGTAAAATGCTGCACACTTGCTATTTGTGAACTGTTGGGTTTGTTGGGGTTGTTTATTGAAAAGTATAAACTATTTAAATTATGCTAACTTGTTAAAATGAAAATTATTTACACAGGACTGGACATATTCCAAGAGACGAGAAATGCAGGTAGTTTGGTTTTATAGTACTGGTACTATGTCGGTTATCTTGATCTGTATTTCTCTCGAGTAAGGAATAGTTGATGAATAGCTACTCATGTATTGTCCATGCTTTCAATTTTCCTTCAAGGAAATTGTACCAGGGGTTTTCCTCGGACCATACTCAGCAGCAATGAATAGTAAAGTAAGTCTAAGTAAGAGAAAAAGTGTATTAAGTACATTATTTTCTTCTAATTTTAACACAAACATTTTCTCCCAGTTTCACTAGATGTCTTTTCTTCACAATAATAATTATTTATGACAATTGTGTCGGTAAAGTCTATGGTCGAGCCTGGTGGCCCATCAAGCCGGCACTTGTCTCTATTTTCTGTAGCATAAGATGTCTAGGAGTACTATTTCTGTCTCCTCCCTGGATGGGATTCTAGTCCATAGCAAGGTTGTCCCAGCATTAAATTGGTTGTTGCCCATTCATACACCTGGATAAAGAGAAAGTGTCTCAACTAAAAACACAACACAGTGACCCCGGTCAGGGCTAGAACCCCGACTACTCAATTCAGAGTCCAGCGCACTAACAATAGAGGAAGTGCAATGATCTACATGTAATTATTACATGTAGATCACTGCACTTCCTCCTATGCTGATTTCTATATTATACAAATTCTGTTGTTACTTGATGTGTAAGATAATGATATTCAAAAGACACTGTGACATATAATAATTTTTTTTCTGTTGTAATTTTCAGCTAGATGTTTTAAAGCAAGTAGGAATATCTCACATTGTCTGTATAAGACAAAATATTGAAGCCAACTTTGTCCGTCCTAACTTCCCTCAACACTTTAAGTAAGTAAAGTTTCTCCACATTAGGGCATCATTTTCAGCAAAACTCTCAAAAACTGATCTCTGTATAAACTTTAAGGTAAAAAACTGTTAAAATTATGAGTCTAAATGTTTTTGATCTCTGATGATGATCAAACAGATCAAAAACGTGTAGACTCATAATTATTTTAACAGCTTTTTACCTTAAATTTTTATATTTTACTTTTATCTCTGTATGTAAGTGTAAAATCATATGTATAAATAATTTATTACAAAATAATATGGACCAAAATATCTAATAGAGAGCTTCAAATATAATAATTTAATTACAATTAATAATAGTAATTAACTCCTAGTGTTATGCTCTTATTATACTATATAGACATGTTACAAACTGACTTCTCATAGACACAATTTAGGGAGGATTAGGTGAGACAGACAGAAGGGATATTTTCTAAAAAGTTGTGTGCTAAAAGTACTTCAGTCTGTATTCTTTTGGAAGCTTTAGTCTTTCAAATAACCAGTAATGTACTTTCAACTATTCTGTGAATTTCAACTGTTTGTTAATTGATAATCATTTATACTTGTTCTGCAGCTATTTGGTCTTAGATGTAGCAGATTCACCCACAGAAAACATAATTACCCATTTTTCAAAGGTATGTTGAAACATCAGATCTTTTATGTTCCCGATAATAACATCAATTGACAATAGCTAAATCTAAAATAAAGTTGGGCAAGTGAGGACTATTTAATTAATACACAATTTCTTACCTACTATTTCAGGTGAAAACCTTTGTTGACAGCTGTTTAAGCAATGGAGGTAGGTCAAACATTTTAGACGACAGCTTATTTGCTTATTGACGGATATGTAAGAGTATCTGATAACTAGTCATTGACAAGTTATACCAATGAATCTTCTACATAAATGTCTTAACAGTAAATTATCTGCTAGATGGGTTGAATGGATATGACCAAAATAGATTAGTACACTACATGTTAGACCAGGGCTCAAACGTTGTCTCTTCTCGTACCTCAGTCCCCTCCTCCCTCACCTCATGCATCTGCCCTCTCCTTTGCTCTTCTCTTCTCACTTACCATTACATTACATTTCCTTGTCTTGCCACAACTACACTTGCCTCACCTCGTCTCACCTCACCCCGTCCCACCTCATTACCCCTCCTCCTATTCAGTATCTCATCTCCCCTACTTCAACTTCTTTTTATCTCTCTTTACATTATCTTACAATATCTCCTAGCAGGGCTGTCATTAAGGGCCATAACCTGCAACGCCTGTTACGCCGAGTATGCTTGATTTTCGCTTGATGCTACAGGTGAAATTGCCTGTTGTTGAAAGAATTCACCAACAAAGTAACAAGTTTGCTACGGGTGTGGAGAACAAGGGTACAGGCTCAAAACTTAATGACAGCCCTTTCCTGGGGTCTACAGTGTCCCAGGCTACACTACAAGGTTTTAGGTATCACTTCCTAAACTGAAAGCAATGTTTAAAACTTTTATTCTAATTTGTATTCTTACATATTGTTTTCACTACTGTTTATTAGGAAAGGTTCTTGTACATGGAAATGCTGGAATCTCAAGAAGGTCGGTTTCAAAGTTCATCAAAATATGACTCATGCAGTGGTTTAAATTTCTTCTGTTTGCTTTCTTGCTTACTACTCACCAGAGAACTAAATTTCATGTTTGCGGTGTTTCTTTTCCTAGTGCTGCTTTAATGATTGCTTTTATAATGGAAACTTATGGATTAACATATAGGTAAACTGGTTTTCTTTTGCATTATACATTTTAGTAGCCTAAGGTTATGAAGAAAATGTTCTTGTCTAAAATTTTCATGTAAAATGTTTTGCATCATATTTGCAGCCTGTGGCTTTGTTTGCGGAATTACATCAGAGGCTTATAAGTATTTACAATAGTAAATATTGTTGTGCTCTTTTAGTGTTCAGTAGTTTTTTGGTTATAAGGAAAACCGTTTTTTGGAAGAAAGTCGCTATTTTGATGAAAACTTATTATATAACTTGGGGTCCACTTTGTAAATAACTACATGTACCAGTACATTATTTCCTTAAAACGGCTTTTTTTACAATCCCTATGATTAAGCTATAGTAAAAGAGATTGACTGTTGTAGAAACAGTGGCTCTGAAAAGAACTGTTTTATTTACTAGGCATGGTTACTATTCATCACGCTCACTGTCTGTCTTAAACTCATACACCAACTCCTCATCTAGCCCTATTAGATATTTGGCAAGGCACTGTACCCCTATAATGCCTAAATCCACTCAGGACCAGGCAATGTAAAGTATGATTCAGCTAATCCAGGATTAGGATGTGATTACCACTAATAGTGAAAAACACTTTTAAAACCTTGATTTACCAGCCTTAATTAATTAGTACTAAAATGAATAGTAAGTCAGAGTAAATCAGCTTCTGATGACTTGGCCTATGAGTATAAATGGGTAATGGCAATCTGTTAGGGCAGCCTGCCAAACACACTTGGAATCAACTTGTGCTTGACAGACTACAATGATCCTTTTCTGGAGAAGCAGTAATACTTCAGGTCACTCTGCATCGTAAGAAGCAAAAGGTCTAGACCTAAGCCTAAGGTGTGAACTGAATATTGCCTTAAAATTTCCTTGGGTTTTTGTCTAAATCTGTTGTTTCAGGAAATATCAATATATCAATAGCAAGCACCCACCCCTCTCAGAAGGTTTTTTTGTTTTAAGCCATGCCATCCCTCAATTTGGGTTTTTAAGACCCCACCCCCTCAGTATTTGTAATGACCTTCCAAGGTGACAGTATGGATATATTCTGGAACTGCACCATTTTAATTTGTAAATAATCATTGAAGAGTTTTAAGGTTGTGATTACATGTCAGACCATTCATTTGAAATTGTTTCTTTCTTTACCACAGGGAAGCATTTCATTATGTTCAACAAAGAAGGTTTTGTATCAACCCAAATGAAGGTTTTGTTCAACAACTTATGGTAGGCAGTTTTTTTTTTCCACCTGAGAATTCTTATGCCACTTTTTTTAACTGTTAGTACCAATAAGCTCTGTTATCTTAAGTTGATCTTGGCATTTGTCATTTACAGGAGTACGAACCAATTTATTTAGCAAACTATCAAGCAAGAACATCTGGAGAAAGATTAAATCAAGGTAAGGAAAGTCTTTCTTTGTTGCCATTTCTCTCCAGTGTCCATTCATACGTGCGGCTAGCTTCAGTCTCCTTTCAGTGCCAGTGTGCTGCAAGGAGGGCATCTCTAATAATTATTCTATTAGTAATTAAGATGTTGGTAGGTATTGTTAATCACGATTGGCATATTTCATTAACCAAACCACTAGTGAACTCATGTTAAGTGACTTATAGTAGATTATTTTGATAAACCTCAGTCTCTGTCACCATTAATTTCAGTGTGACTACTTCAACCAAGGCCTTTTTTTTTCCTGTCAAAATTCTACATGCAAATTGGCGAATGGAAACCTTGCTGTTAACTGTAGATTTCTGACAAATCGGGAATCAAAGCACACTTCTATGTGAAAACAATAAATTTGTGACCGTTTTTGTCATTTCAAAACATTCATTGCCATTTGGTGAATTTCAAGGATTTTTCATGGGTGGCCTTGGTTGGAGTAGGCTTGATTACCAGCCACTGTTCGGGAAAGGAAACCTTGCTCGCACCTAGACCTAGACCAGATTCCAAATCAAGCCTATGAGTCACACTGTATTGAGCTGTAGGTCAAGCATTAAACTACCTGCAAGTCAAAAGAAACCTGAAAAATTATTATATTTTACCAGGTTACAGTTCTAAATAACAATAAACTGAGGAAAAAATAAGGGTGTGCAGCTATAAATTGTGGAGAAAACAGAGCTGGATTTCAGTTGACAAACTTGAAAGACTTAGGTTAATTTTTTTAAAGACATATCATGCTTGACATACTGCTTGCTCCTATAAGTTACAGTCTGATGAACTAAAAACACTTCCCAGCCAAAGAATTTTGATTCTTTTTCTTGGTTGTCAGGAGGAGTGAAGCGAGCACATGAAGATGAATCAAAAGATGATATGATGGACACTTGATGGCTGGTATCATGGTAGTAGTGTTATTTCAGTATACGTGCGTGGTAGTTACAGGATGTAATGGTTCGTTCAGTAGCGTAACACCAGCAAAATAATGCTGAGCAACTTAGGTTAGATACTTACCAGAGAATGGGTGATACAGGCCGCTAAATTAAATCTTTACCACATGGTTTTTGGGAGTTGCAAAACTGAAAAGCCTAAAGCAAGTGGATTACATAGAATAGAATGATCTATATTGGTTGCGTGGAAGGCTGAGGAGACTAGATATTGGCCAAGGGTACGTTCTGTGTGTTTATGGACTGAGATTGTTAAGGTCCGTGATCACACAATGAGAGCACTACTCAGCCATCTTGATGAGACAAGCTTGCTCAAAAAAGTGTTAAGTATTTATGGCATATTAAATGACCTCAATTTTCTTGTGGGATACAACTGCCAATATCAAGAAAGCACATGTCTTGAATCTCATTTCTTCAGATTTTAGTTATTTATTTACATTGTATTTTTGATTAAAGAGGCTGTACAGTATCTCAGTTGATTTATAAGTAGCCCACTCAAAATGCAATGTGATTGGAATATGTATAAAGAAGGACAATTTTAAAACACTTAAGAAATTCTGTTAGTAGTTTAAGTAACAGGTGTACAAAATCAATTGTGTCCAAGAAGCTGCTAGTTGTAAACCTGTGTGGCCCTGCACACGTCAGCTCATGGTGTTGTTTCTCTCAGGGGTAGGGGGGGAGGTGGGTACAGGGGAGGGTGGACTCTCAGTGAAAAGGCCAGGGATGCTCATGACTAAATTTGAATGAATCATTAAGGGAGACCAATCTGGATATGGCTCGAGCTTTATTTGACCTCCAAAAGATACCACTTCAAATGGACACAACTACGTTTTTTTATTATTTCTCTAGGCCGACCCTAAAAGAAACTTTGACGTCTGAAAATAATCATATGGTATTTCGTCCGGAACACCTCAAGTGAGACCAAAATCTTCAATTTGTGCCCTTAAGCAAGACGACGAGCATCTCCGACCTTTTCACATGGGAGTACCCCCCCCCCCGGATTAAATCAATAGAGCTGTATGATAGTATAATAAATTAAATTATGCAAATCATGGTTTTCCATTCGCCACTAAGTTTTTTCCAATCTAGGCTGATTTCTTCCACCATAGGTAAAATTATTACAAAATGAAGGAGGTTTGTTGTAATATGCTAGCACGTGATATGTGTTTGTCATGTGCTACAAGTCTTAATTTGTTGAAAATGGCAACTTTGGGAAAATAGTATCAATGATGCTTTGTATGACTGTAAAAACTATTTCTTAACGAGTAAAATTTGGTAAAAGTGTCGTATAATTTCTGTGCAAAAAAAAAGCATTTCTTAACAAATAAAATTTTGTAAAGCCGTTTACTCAAGGTTTGATGAAAATTTATACAACATTAGTATTTATACACTCTGGTAGCACCTGTGGCGACCTTGTTTCCAGGCCTGCTCTTTCCCTAAGAATGAAAGTAGAAAAAGGTATGGGAGCAAGGGAGCTCGACCGGGATTGACGGTTTCAGTTTTGTGGACGAAGTAAAAGGTTTCAATTTCCTTTTTCGTCAGTGAAACGTATCATTACACAACTAGTAAAAAAAATGACTAATCAGTTTTTAAGCAGTAACTTTATCAGTTTTTCTTAACTATCCACGCTAAAGATAAAGTAAGTTCCGCGCATTCAAATAATACACCAATTTCGCTATATTAAAATTCAGTTTAAACCAATAGACCTCATTACGAGGCTCTGGGGAATAACTACACAGTTTGTGGGATTTATTCCCCAGAGCCTCGTGCTGAGGTCTATTGCCGTTCCTTAAGGACGACCGAGCGAGAGACTCGACACGAAAAATTGCATTCTGGCAACCTCGTCTCTCCTCTGCTTCCTTTGTGAACACGGGAGGCAGAGGAGAGAGAGCTTGGGAACGAGGTTGCCATTCTGGTCTCGGTAGAGCTACGTCATTAGAATGGAATTTTGAGGAAGTTTTGAACGTGTGTTCCATTCTCATTTGCTCCTAGTGGTCGCGAGGTATGTTGGGAAGGGGGCACTGACAAGATTGATGCAATCTCCCCATGAGCAAAGCGGACTAAAAAATCCTTCCCATGAAGCCTACAACGAGGAAACTTATTATTACATTTTTAAAATCGTAGTTTATTCAACACAAAATTATAACTGCTTAACGTTGAATTGTAGCGACCACTGCAACAGTTTAGACAGCAATTATAAACTTTTGTTAATTTCAACCAGGAGCAATAATAGGGGATGGCTCCTGTTTCGACTAATAGACTTGTGAAAAATTTAAACGCTTACAAGGCCAACAGTACTCAAAAGCAAGCCACGGTAGTTCATGATGGCTCTCTCAAATCAGGCCTTTTTTTCTTTCTCAATGCTGATAAACCTCTCTTGTGGCGGCGGCAATGCTTTTCTCTCAGCTTCAACAAGAAGCTTTCCCTCTTCAGTAAGACGCGACACCACCGAGCTCATATTCACGTCTCTGGGCAGCACAAAATGGCGGTTGAACTGACGAGAACTGAAATGCCCCTCTGTTTCAGATTCGTGTTTCGCGCTGACCGATAGCTCGTTGCCGACAACTTTGACTTTGATCTCTTCTGGCGCGAAGTTCGTCACATCCAACAAAACGCTGAATTTCCTGTCGTCAATTGTGGCTACTTCTCCAGCGCGCGTCTCGAATCCCCCGAGCGGAAAGTCGTCCTCTGTTTTAACCACTCTCCTGGTCGCTTCAATGGTTAGATAACCATCTTGTGAAATCTTCGACGTTATACTGGCGGGATCTGCGTCTTGCGGGATGGGATAAGTTCGTTGGAATTCATTTCGCTCAAAGCCAAAATTTCCATCGGAATAGTGCTTTGCCTTTACGACCAAGATGTTCCCCTCGACTCGCAGGCTTACTTCGTCAGGGCGGTAATTTCGTACATCTAAAGTAGCTATGTGTATTTTTTCATCAGAACTTGGTCGTTGCATTTTGGTGCGTGAAATAACTTCTGTGACGCCGCTTCTGTGGCCAAGGTTTTTGATCACTTCGTTTTTTAGCGAATGTAGTTAAAAGTAATATCAAAATAGTTTGCATGGGGTGAAAAATGAGTCATTGGACAAGTAAAATCTTGGAACTAAAATGCCATTTCTTAAAAATATTGGACGCGAGTGTTTAGTATCGATATAATTGATAAACACATAATATTAGTTAAAATCGCCTATTGTAGGCGGAAACCTGGCAAACTCTAGATTTTTTCGCGAATTTTCATGACACGATATACAATGCAGCTAACCGCTCATTAAATTTGTTTTTCAGAACTATGATGACATTTGGTTGAGTCGTCGACCATTTGGTTTGTTCGCAAGTAGCGTGTTTTTGCATGATACATGAAGGTTCGTGATACATTGGATAATATGTTCAGTTAGTGTGCTTTCACAAAGTTTGTTCATGAATTCGACAGTTTAGTACTTATATCGGCTTTACAGTATTCAAAAAACGATTGAATCGGCCCTTAGAAGCCTTAATTTTCCCCCTTTCGTGGTCGGTAGGCTTTCTTACTACTGCTAAATGCACTAAGCAGCTGCGAAGGTCTCTCTCCATTTAAAAGTAAACGCAAAAACACGTCCTGCGTGGAACTGAAAAAGGCATAACGGATTACGTTATGTGTATTGGACTCCAAAAGTTCAAGAACTGATATATTCAAGTAAACTTTTGTCCCAATATTAATTACGGTTGTAAAGTATTCACACGGGGGGTGTCTAGCATTTGTCGGAATAATGGACTGATGAGTTTTTCCAAAATCAACAAACCGAACGAAATGGCGCTTACCATTTACAATTTCATTCCTCAATTCTTCTTTTCTGACGATCAGACTGGAATCTGGGAAATTCAGGAAATGGTAATTTCTGCCATTCCGTTCCGAACGAAAAAACAAGGAGTACCTCTGGAGGTAGTCCACAATTTCCGAACAGATTTTCCTAAATAAATTTATGCTCTATTTGCATGACTTTAAGCCGAAATTTCCGGATTTTTCTCTTTTTTTTTTTGGCTCAATGGTAAGCACCCCCGGTAACCGGTTGAATCACGGTTTGGGCAAATGTTGCGCAAAAATTCCGATTGGCAATTTCGGGTGAGAATTGGAGCACCCGAAACTGAGCAAAGTAGCCATGAACAAGGGTCGAAATTGGTCGAACTGAAACTGGTAGGCCGCAGAGGGGGTGGGGCCGCGGGGGGAGGGGGGAAAGCTTCCATGTAAAACAGGTTGGGGGGTGCTCGTCGTCTCGTTTAGGGGTGTAGAACACCGACTTTGGTCTCAATGAAGGCATTCCGGACGAAACGCCGCTATCTTAAGCCGTTAAGGTATCTTTTAGTATTGCGCTCGAAGAAACAACAGTCGTATCTCTTCTGCGTAAAATAAAACTCAAGCCACGCCCAGACCTAGATAGGTTGCCGGATTATTCAAATATTCCGATGAGTATATCCCCAACCTTTTCACTTGGAATCTCCCCCAGACTGCTTGCTCCATTCGGATTTTCTAGTGGTCTACCTTTCAAGAGGTTCGATTATGTCCAGAATTTATGTGTACGTGGTGAACAACCCGTATCTTTAGTGTCAGGCTGAGCTGCTTAAAGTTAGCTGAGAACTGGGCTGGCAAAAAAAGCAAAATTCAACACAAAATGACCAGTGATAAAAATTCCATCTACACCATGGTCTTTTAGCGAGAATGGATTTTGTGACCAGTGGTAAGCCAGGCGGTAAAATAATGATCTGAGGCTGCAATCTCGTGACCAGGCCTTTGTCAGGGGTTAACCAGCCCAACCGCTGACCAGAGAGACTGAGGAGTCTGTGACAGGTTTTCGTGACCAGCGGGGACCAGCGGTAATATACAGGAGGATTGTTTCTGAGAACAACAGGAAGTTTGTGGTAAAAGGTTACTGTATTAAAATTCTAAGAAAAATACGAAGCTCCAAGTCAGTTAATTGTGTTCAGTCAAATCGTTGAAATCGCGTCGACTAGAAGTCGTATTCGAAGACAAATACTCAGTCGAGGGTCGTGAAAAGCAGCATGCCTTATATGTTGGTACGCAGTTCTATGAACCCAGTATTTGGCGGCCCGACATTCATTGATTACCATACAGAAGGCGAGTTCAGGTTCCCGAGGCAATGACACATCTGGGAGCGAAGTGTATTCGTGGCTGTGATCAATTTCGTATGCGTACTAATCATACTTGTTGCTCGTACCAGACCTCGGAGCCTCCTTATAAAGTGCTGAACAGTTTGGAAAAACATGGCTATAAAGTTGTTGCAGCAAATTCAGCTGCAGATACTAGCCTGAATCAGCCTTATCGGGTGGCAGATATGGACATTGCATAAGCAAGCTTAAAGAAACACAAGCCAAGACAAAAATCAGTGAAACTCATGCAACCCAGACGGTGTTACGAGTTTTTATTCTACTTCGTGCGTGAAAGATAAATTGTAACAGATAGTTAGGCCCGGTCCAAACGCCGCTCCACTCGTGTGCCGAACCAAACTTGATAAAGTGCGACTTTAGAGCGACTTTGGAGCGACGGCTGGTTCAGACGGCGTACTTGTGTCGAACTTAATTCGGGAAGCCGGTGGTAACAATTTTCGACGAGAAAATATGCGCTCTGGATTCACGAACTCTGTCCAAATAGAAAAGCTGTGACTAGCATTTTCCTGTTGTAGCAATATTTAGGGGAGCAAATTCAAACTCAAGGTTCAGTGTTTGTATTTAGACAGTTTTTCTCCCGGTTAATTCGATTTGTTAAAGGAAAATCTCATATTCTGCGCTATTATCACGAAGAAAAAGCAAAAAATGAATTTGCGCTAAAGAAAGTCGCTTATACGTACAGTCCCGTTTCTCATAAATCGATGGCATACTGGTATTTTGATGTCTTTATTTTCAGTAACGACTTTGAGCTTCATGCATGACTGGTCACGCCACTCAATTTTGAGCCAATCACGAGTCTCGTTATATGAAAAATAAATTACAGTAATTTATGCATTAGGTTCGACACATGAGGAGGACGCCGTATGAATCAGCTGTCGCTCCAACGTCCCATAGTGCGACAGACCCTGCCGAATTTAATGTTGTTTGCCGTACCAAACTTAACCTGCCGAACCAAACTGATTGCAACGCCGCTCTTCTGCCGTACTTAACTCATCAGTTAGGTTTGGCGCATGAATGGAGCGGCGTTTGGAACGGGCCTTAGATGAACATAGTGTATTGAAAGTAAGCCATTTTTATTGAGAATTTTCACTTATAACTACCTCCATGGATATCCTGTAGAAAATCCCATATAAACCCTTATAATTCGATGCCATATTGTGTTGCTTGTGTGGTTCAGAGAGAGAGCTTGGGCTGCCTGTGATATCAGGGGCGTAGCTAGGATTTTTCCAGAGGTACGCACAATTTTCCAAAGTCTGCTGCGTTAAGTCAAAGCATTGAAATCGCGTCGACTGAAAGTCTCATTCGAAGACGAATACTTGAGATTGTGAAAAGCACCATGCCGTATATCTTGGTACGATGCTCTATGAGCCTATTGAGTGAATATAGCGGCTGCCCAACGGTTATTGATAACCATGCTGACGATGGTAAGGAAGGCGAGTTCAGCCTACGCGATGTCACACCTGAAAGCAAGTTGTATAGCGATCCTTACTGCTCGTACCAGACTGCTGAGTCCCCTTATTTAGCATTCATGTCCAATACACCCAACTAGAGTCGATTCGCAGATGTGGACATTGCACAAACAAAGATAAAGCGACACAAGTCAAGACGAAAAAGAAAACAGAAAAAAAGATGGAAACCCAGCTACCCAAGCAGTTTTAAGAGTCTTTATTCTGTTTTGTGTGTGAAAGATAAATTGTAAACACGGTAAAATTATTGTGACGGCGTGACCGGCTGATTCAGTTCATGGTGAATAAAAACAATAAAACGAAAACTTAAAAAAGTGTATTGAAATTAATATGTAATGAATTGCGTACACTTCTATAACCCAAAAGATACACCTGCATTATCACTGTATTGTTAGTAATTTTGATGTTATATGCATTTTTTTTTTTTGCAATGTGCGGTCTTTGTTTTGGAATGTAAGTAAGTAATAAGGGAATAAAATGACGTTTGGACTTCGGAGGGGATTTTGTTTATTTGCGCTCGCGAGTGGTGTCCTTTGTCCTACCAATCAGCCGCTACCCTCACCTGAGGGGTAGGGGGGAGGTGCAGAAGAAAGATCTTACATTCGAGACGTTGATTCTAAAACATGGCAATTCCCTACCCTGGGATCGTATGAAGATTTTATTTCGGTGTTGTCAATTGGCTGCGTAGAAATCAAGAAAGCCGAGAACTGGCTACTTCACTCGAATAGTGGTGACTGTAGTTCTAACAAAAACAGAAGGTGATGTTTAAGCCTAAATTGTAATGTGCTGAAGTTACAGGTTACATTTTATTTCACGATACTCCATCCCGTGAAGTCGCTACCACAAGTCCCATTGAAAGACGAGTACGGTAGTGTGTTGGATGCCATGTCGTTTATCATAATTGTGCGTAATTATATTCGTCTTCTAGGCGACCCTATTTCAACGCTTTGACACAACTGACTTTAATAGAGCTTCGTCTTTTTCTTAGAACCTTTTGACACAACCTTCTCAGAAACATTTGTCCATTGTCACTATACAACCGCTGGTCACGAAAACCCCTCACCCTCATCAATCTTGAGCCCAATCTGGAGCCCAGAGTCTTTCGGCTCGGTCAGCGGTGACTCTGGCTCCTTGGTCAGTGGGTCAGTGGGAGCTACTGGGCACCGTCAGTGGGACGGTCATTGGCCGCGAGAAAATCAAGAGGCCTGAGAACTGGGTACCTTTGAATCTGATTTGCGCAGAAATTCTAAGAAAAACAGGAAGTTAATGCAATAGCACTGTCTCATTCAGTGAATCGCTACCAAGAGGTCTTATTGTAAGACGAGTAAAAGTGTGTTGGATGCCATGTCGTATATCATTGTACGCAGTGACGTATCCCAAGGAACTGAAAAGGCATTCTTTGGAATAACGTACATTGAGTACGAGGAAGAAATTGATCATCTCCAAACTGCGATGTCAAGATTGTCGGCAACGCGTGTTACTAACTATCATTTCCTGTACAAGACCACTGAGCCCCCTTATATTGTGCTCAACAGACTGAA